AAAATCGCTCTCCTCCAGCTCTTCCGCGGGACCCTCGTGCTTCCCGGATCAGCACACCCACTCCGCGCTGCCCCACCGCTGGTACGTCAGCGATTGTAGCGATGACTCCATTAGCAAGGGCTCTGCCTGCCTGGTTAGCGCGGGCCAGCCCCTCGCGGTGGCTCATACGCACAATCAGACTTGGTTACATGATTCAGTTCGCGAAACGGCCCCCCAAGTTCAAGGGCGTGTATTTCTCCAGGGTCAACCCCCTGTCCGCCCCTGTCTTGCGAGAGGAGATTGTTGCCCTCCTGGCGAAGGGTGCAATCGAGTCAGTTCCTCCAGCCGAGATGGAGAGTGGGTTTTACAGCCCATACTTCATCGTACCCAAAAAGAGCAGTGGGTCACGATCAATCCTAGATCTGCACGTTTTGAACCGCTGTCTGCACAAGCTGCCGTTCAGAATGCTCACGCAGAGGCGCATTCTCCAATGCGTTCGTCCTCGGGATTGGTTTGCAGCCATAGACCTGAAGGACGCGTATTTCCATGTCTCCATTCTTCCACGCCACTGCCAATTTCTGCGGTTTGCGTTCGAGGGTCGAGCGTGGCAGTACAAGGTCCTCCCCTTCGGGCTCTCTCTGTCTCCGCGGGTCTTCACCAAACTCGCGGAGGGTGCCTTAGCGCCCCTTCAGCTCGCGGGCATCCGCATACTCAATTATCTCGACGACTGGCTGATTTTAGCCCACTCGCGGGAGCAATTGATCCGCCTACTGGGGCTTCAGGTCAACCGAGAAAAGAGCAAACTCGCCCCCATGCAGAGGATCTCTTTTCTTGGGATGGAGCTGGACTCGATCACCATGGTAGCGCACCTCTCCGAGGAACGCGCTCACCTGTTGCTGAACTAGTGGTCCCACTGAAGTTCTTTCAGAGGCTCCTGGGCATATGGCATCCGCAGCTGCCGTCACGCCGCTCTGATTGCTCCATATGAGACCACTTCAGCACTGGCTTCACGATCGGGTCCCAAGACGCGCATGGCACGCGGGCACACACCGGGTCTCTGTTACTGCGCTGTGTCGCCGCGCCCTCAGCCCTTGGAACGACCCCTCGTTCCTACAGGCCAGTGTGCCTCTAGGACAGGCGTCCAGCCATGTTGTTGTTTCAACAGATGCTTCCAACACGGGTTAGGGGGCCGTGTGTCGCGGGCATGCGGCTGCGGGCCTGTGGAAAGGCACCCAGTTGCATTGGCATATCAATCGCCTAGAGCTGTTGGCAGTGTTCCTCGCTCTCCACCGCTTTTTACCGATGCTGGAGCGGCAACACGTGCTGGTCAGGATGGACAGTACGGCGGCGGCGGCGTATATCAACCGCATGGGGGGTATGCGCTCTCGCCGCATGTCTCAGCTCGCCCGCCGTCTGCTCCTCTGGAGTCACCCGTGGCTGAAATCGCTGCGCGCTATTCACGTTCCAGGCACGCTCAATCGTGCAGCCGATGCGCTCTCACGACAGCTGTTGTGCTCTGGAGAATGGAGACTCCACCCCGAGTCTGTTCAGCTGATATGGGCGCGATTCGGGGAGGCCCAGATCGATCTGTTTGCTTCCCCAGAGAACGCTCATTGCCAGTTGTTTTTTTCCCTGACCGAGGGCTCTCTCGGCATGGATGCACTGGCCCACAGCTGGCCTCGGGGCATGCGCAAGTATGTGTTTCCCCCAGTGAGCCTGCTCACGCAGTTACTGTGCAAGGTCAGGGAGGACGAGGAACAGGTTCTGCTAGTTGCGCCCCTTTGGCCCAACCGGACCTGGATAACAGAGCTCTCACTCCTCGCGACGGCCCTCCCCTGGCGGATCCCTTTGAGAGAGGACCTACTCTCTCAGGGACAGGGCACCATCTGGCACCCTCGCCCCGATCTTTGGAACCTCCACGTGCGGTCCTTAGACGCGAGGAAGACTTAGGTAACCTACCGGCTGCGGTGGTTAATACCATCACTCAGGCTAGAGCCCCCTCCACGAGGCGCTCCTACACCCTGAAGTGGAGTCTATTCACTGAATGGTGCGTCTCTCGCAGAGAAGAGCCCCGAAACTGCCAGATTAGTGTTGTGCTCTCTTTCCTTCAAGAGAAGTTGGACAGCAGGCTGTCGCCCTCCACTCTCAAGGTTTACGTGGCCGCCATCTCCGCTTATCATAACGCGGTAGCTGGCGGCACCGTGGGAAAGCATAACCTCATCATCCGGTTCCTTAGGGGTGCTAGGCGAATTAATCCATCTCGCCCCCCTCTCATGCCCTCTTGGGATCTCGCCCTCGCCCTGAAGACAGCTCTGCTGGTTGCGTTGGCCTCCATGAAGAGGGTCGGGGACCTGGAGGCATTTTCGGTCAGTGACTCGTGCCTGGAATTCAGGCCGGATTACTCTCACGTCATCCTGAGACCCCGCCCGGGTTATGTGCCCAAGGTTCCTACCACCCCCTTTAGAGATCAGGTAGTGAACCTGCAAGCGCTACCCCCGGAGGAGGCAGACCCAGCCCTTTCTTTACTTTTTCCAGTTCGCGCTCTGCGCATTTATGTGGACCGTACTCAGAATTTTAATTCATCTGAGCAGCTCTTTGTCTGTTATGGCGGTCGGCAGCAGGGAAGTGCCGTATCAAAACAAAGATTATCCCACTGGATTGTGGATGCCATTTCACTCGCCTATTCGAGTCGAGGTCAGCCGTGTCCCCCGGGAGTGCGTGCACACTCCACTCGGAGCGTTGCATCCTCCTGGGCGTGTGCACGCGGCGCCTCTCTAACAGACATCTGTAGAGCTGCGGGCTGGGCGACACCCAACACATTTGCAAGGTTTTACAATCTGCGAGTGGAGCCGTTTTCCTCAAGGGTATTAGGTAACCCTTTGGTGATTGAGGAAACAACTCGGTAGGGTGTTGAGACACGCTTGCTGCGCCATTTTCCCTAACACGGAGATACGTGCGCCCTTTTATCTGTCAGTAAAGTTCCCCGTCAGGTGAGCCCTGCAGATTCCTCCGTGGCCCCCAGCACTGACTCAGCGGAGGAGTCACTTGCTGGCCCACTACGTTGTAGGTCTGCCCGCTGGTCAGCCCGCATTTTGGGCATAGGTGCCTGCTATGCGTGATCCCCACTAGGCGATCCCATTTGCTTATTCCGCCACGGTTAAGTCCCCCCCCTGGGCGGACCCGTGTCTTCCCTCTCCGCTAACCACTCTTTTGCTATGCGTACTCCCCCTTTTTAGGGCTAGTCCATATTTAAGTACTGCCATCTATCCCCCCTTGGGTAACGGATGGCCTCCGCAGCGTCCTCCCTATCGGGATTGCATGCTTCTCAACGTACTGTCGTATTCCTAGAGTTATCTAGATGCTCACGACTTCCCAAAAAATATATCTAAATCCGTAAGACTTCTGTTGAAGTAGGATAAATTAGGGCCAGGGACACGTTGGAGGACCGCTCCTCCCATGATGTGGGTGCGTCACGCTTGCTTGACTATCCCCTCATCGGGGGCGTTGGTAAGGTGCAGTCATTATGGCGCTTTCCATACTTCTCCCATTTCGTGGCTTTCAATCAATCCACTCTATGGCACTGAAGTTCCCCAACCGAAGGGAAACGCTCGAGGTTACAGAAGTAACCCTTCGTTCCCCGAGGAGGGGAACGGAAGTGCCATACTCCGTCGCCATAATGACTGTCCCTCCTCGGGGAACGAAGGGTTACTTCTGTAACCTCGAACGTTTTTCTGACAAATACAGTAGTTTTAACCGAAATTGGAAATGCTAATCTAAGAGATTAGGAGAGCTGGTAGGCTCATATACTTTTACATGTAGGTGTTTATTCTGCAGTTAGTTTTCAGGGAATATTGTTCACAAATTATATCAGTCTGATATAACGTTAGACCAGGGGTGGGCAAACTCGGTTCTGGAGGGCCGGTGTCCTGCACAGTTTAGCTCTTACTCCAATCAAACACACCTGCTTATAGATTTCTAGTCATCTTGAAGACACTGATTGGCATGTTCAGGTGTTTTTGATTAGAGTTAGCGCTAAACTATGCAGGATACCAGCCCTCCAGGACAGAGTTTGCCTACCCCTACACTAGGTAAAGGCAGTGAAAAACATTAGCAATAGCGGCATTATCATGATGGACACATTCAGTAGCAAACTTCCCAGGTAACAAAGAATTCTGGTCCAGATTTGGCATAAAGCTGGCACAGCAGGCATTCTTCCAGCGCTGGCATACAGCATAAGGGCCAAACATGGCCCAGGTTTGGCTAAGGTGGCCTTTTTTGCTGCCACCATCCTCACTGGTACGTGTCACACACCTCACACACATCTTACGGGATATTCCCCCCACAGTTGTTTTGGCACTGCTTATATCTGAAAGCAGCCTCTCATATGTCAGCAGGGAAAGGCAAAGCCAATCACAATGCTTATATGTGTTTGGGGGACGATGCTCTTTCGGCATGTCTAGGTTTATATTGACAGCACAATGTTTTTTAACTGAATTAAATTATTGTTCGGGACATTTAGTAGATGGTGGATATTGGTGGGGACACGTCCCCTCCATTTATGCTAAATGTCCCTGGTCCCTTCCCACCAGGCACATAGCGTCATAAGACGTTAATATTAGGTTAGATATAAGTCATGATGTCAGGTGACTAAAATTCAATGTCTAACCAGCATCTAAGGACAACGTTATTTTCACATCCAATAACGACGTCAAATTACGTTGGTATTTGGTTGATTTAAGGTTGTGTTGGAGGGTGACCAAAATCTAATGTCTTATGGATGTCATAGTGGTAACGAAGTTTTGTTCTGATGTCAACTCCATTTTCATTTCCAAACAAAATCCAATGCCCCCACAACATTAGGGTACAATGTCAATATGACGTCATGTTGAGGTCCTGTGCCTGTAGGAATAGGTGTATTACAGTTAGCTCCCAGTATTTCTTATTGTAAAATCGGGGAAATGGCGATGGCAGTTTTTTGCTTTTGCACCTTTCATTAATTTATTCTCTCTTTGACTTCACAGGCTCTTCGAAACTCTTCAGTCTCTCTTCTGGTCTGTGTTCGGGCTGTTGAATCTGTATGTTACCAATGTGAAGGCTCGTCACGAATTCACAGAGTTTGTAGGAGCCACCATGTTTGGCACTTACAACGTCATCTCTCTGGTGGTACTATTGAACATGCTCATTGCTATGATGAACAACTCCTACCAGCTTATCGCTGTGAGTGTCGTTAAATACTGCTGATAATTTTTCAGAATGTTTCACCTCAGTTGTTTGAGAATGGATGTAGAGTTAAAAAAATTTTGAGCAGTTTAAAAATGTTCGGTCAGCTGCTGTAATTGTGCTCTTATAGGGTGAAACAACTTTGCACTTAAATTTGAAGCATTAAAACTCACCAACCATCAACAATGCAGATTTAATTAATGTTCTAAAAAAGTAAAAAACAAAAATTCAGTTTTAGGAAAGTGTCAGGGTTTTTGATTCTGTGCAAATGTCATGTCATAAATTGGTAAAATTTTCTAACTCACCTTGACAAACCTTTTTTTTTTTTTTTTTTTTTTTTAAAGTTTTTTGCACATGAATTATTCCCCATTGTTTAAAAGTGCAGTAGTTGTTCTGCCAAATGCTAACAGTAGCTTTGAAAACTCCCCTGCCATCCAAAGCCATGCCTCCTGAAATTACAAATGCACACAGTGAAAATGACAGTTGACAACCCACTAGATCATGTTTTTGCCAGTTAGAAAGCTTTAAAGTACTTTATAATACTACAATTTCGCAAAATTGTCAGAATGTGCAATATTTCATGCATGCAAGGATTGCTGGTCTCATTCTTTTACATGCTTTGTCTCAAAGTGACAATGGTGCTTGTTCGGTGGGGTGTGGGCGGGGGATTACACTTATTACTAAGCAGACATCCTAAGTTTGGAAAAGTCATTTCCAAGGGGGAGACAGAGGTGATTTGCGGGAGGTTGCGGGAGGGTGCACAACGTATCTGGACCGGGTAGTAGACGGGTGATTTCCAGGAGATTATCTTTCGTTTGCAGGTATCTTGGGATCTTCCAGGACACTTGGGATGTCTGACAAAGCCATACTTGCTATTTCAGACCAAATATTCAAAGTAGCATGGGAAACTATTCAGAAACCACGTCACAGGTATATAAAACCAACTTCACCGCAGTAAAGCAGCCTACGTTGAATAACGTTATTTACTTGTTTTATTGTTAAACTAAATAAAAATCGACATTATGATGCTGTAAAATGTCCCTTATGAAATTGAAAATAGTTACATCAATATTTCGCTACATTTCAGTAGCTGAACAACACTTTTGTGCATATAACTCATTCAAAAAAAACAACATAATCTACAAAAGCTTTGTGTGACTAAAAGAGTTTTAAAACATAATATTACCTGTGGTGACACGGTGGCGCAGTAGTTAGAGCTGTTGCCTCACAGCAAGAAGGTTGCTGGTTCGAGCCTCTGCTGGGTCAGTTGGCATTTTTGTGTGGAGTTTGCATGCTCTTCCTGCGTTTGCGTAAGTTTCCCCCCACAAGTCCAAAGACATGTGGTACAGGTGAATTGGGTAAGCTGAAATTGTCCTTAGTGTATGTGTGTAAATAAGAGTGTATGTATGTTCCCCAGAGATGGGTTGCAGCTGGAAGGACATCTGCTGCGTAAAACATATGCTGGATAAATTGGCGGTTCATTCTGCTGTGGCGACCCCAGATTAATAAAGGGACTAAGCCGAAAAGAAAATGAATGAATATAGAACATTACCTGTCTAAAAGAAATACTTTAGCTCCAATATTGATTTTTTATTTATTTTTTTGTTTTGTTTTTTACCTCTGAGTAGCAAAATTAGTTCAGTTTATGAATATTAATGATCAATAATAACAAGTTATCATTAATTAGGAATATTCAGAATTAACTTATTTAATTATAATATTTAATAATATTTAATTTAACAAAATAAACATAACAATGACTTTGCCTGCTCATTTGGGTGAACTCTGTAATTATTTATTTTTTTAGAAAAGGAATTATAACTACTTCTTGTTAAGTAGATGAATCGTTTAAAAGTTTTAGTAAAAGAAGGGTCTGTCGTTAAAGTGACTTTTTCTTTGAGGCAAAACAAAGACAATCCAACATGGTTATACAGCGTGATTTATTGACTAGTCTAACATATAACAAACAACCGTACAAAACATAACAATAGAAAAGAAAGAAAGAGAGGAAATAAAGACTTTAGATAAAAGAATGGCAAATCTAACTAACTAACTAACTAACTAACTAACTAACTAACTAACTAACTAACTAACACAACTATTAAGAACCACCAAGACTATAAAAACACCTTTCTGTTAAAGGGGCACAGCATAACGCACGACTAAATACTTGGATTTAGTGGGTCTGTCTCTCTCTTGTTGTGCGAGTTTCCCTGATTCTTGGAAGATGCTGTCTTTCAAGAAGTCCTTTCATTGGCGTGGAGTTTGTGACGCAGATCGGAGGGTACACTAGATGCAAAATTTAAACTGGATCTATTTTGGCGGAAAATCAGAAACGTGGACTCAGGTGGGTCACTTGGATTCCGAAACGCAGTTTGCCCCTTTTGTGTCAGGGACACTCCTGTGGGTACATTCTTCTGAGACCTTTCTGCCGAGGTTTAAGGGGTGTAACAGGTATTTAAAGGCAGTGGTCATGTAACTCCCAGTCTCTCCTGACCTACCAATGCCGTGAGAGGAAAAGTCACCTGGGAAACTTCCTTTCTTCTCCTCACTTGTCTGTACCGTCCCAAGATAGAAAGACACAACTTTAACTCATGGTTTGAAACTACACCAAGCATACAAGTTATCATCCTATGTCCTAGATCATGAGTTAGAATTATTTATGGAGAAGAATGACATCAAACATGATGGACATATGGAAATAATTTATACATTTTAATTTGTCTAATGTCTTGAAAAGGGTATATACATGTGTAAGAATTAAAAGAGAAAGTCAGGAAGAAAATACAAAAGTTTACAAACACATTACATGTACTTTGGGCTAAATTTTGAGACTTCTGAGTCCATTTCAAGTGTGTGTGTGTGTGTGTGTGTGTCAGGATGGAGGGGGTTTCTTTGAAATGTCTTTGAAGATGGCAGAACTCTAGCTCTGGCCAGCATCTTGGTAGATAAAAGGTCACAGAGTGACTTTCACTGGCAGTCTTGCTGGCACCAGGGGCCATAAACTCACGTAGAACAAACCCATACCCTTTAAAGGGTCACAATGGAATTTTACCTCCTGACTGTGCGCTACAGATGTCACTCTCTCTCTCTCTCTCTTGTGTGCACGTGAACGCGGCACATGTTCACATGCAAACAGTGGATCTGTCTGTGTAAACGGGTTCGCAGATGTACAAATCTACATTTGTTCAAGGACAAAAGCTACTTATCAGAATAATGGGAATTATCGGCCCAACTATTTTTAATTGGACGAACATTTTTTAGTCTCATGCCTTACCCAGAATATGAAAATGCATATAAATACATTTAGATCATTTACTTTAATCATTACTATTGGAATTTGAAGAGATTTTCAACCAACACTAAAAAAATGTTTCTAAAGACAATCACCTACTGCACCTTTAATATCTGTAGATTACACATGTTTGTGTATTCTCTAAATTCATTCACAGTAGGAAGTATATTATGTTTGGACAGACTATCATATTTCAGTTGTTTTGTGACAGAGTGTTGGGTTCACTTTTATGTTCTGTTCTGTGCTTATATAAGCTACATTTAGTGCCATGTCTACATTAGTGTGTGTGTCTCACAATGAGAACTGTTATTCAAGTAAATAATTCTTAAGGCGCATCATGCAATCACAGGACAAATTGTCCAGAAACAAAGCCAGCCTGGGACACAATCCCAATTGGCACTTTCAGCACCATCCTGCATCCAACTGACTGCCTGTTTTTCTACTGTAGGATCATGCAGACATCGAGTGGAAATTTGCTCGTACTAAGCTCTGGATGAGCTACTTTGATGAGGGAGGGACATTACCACCACCCTTTAACATCATACCAAGCCCAAAGTCTGTGTGGTACCTGTGTGTGTGGCTGCACTGCCGACTGTGTGGACATGGAGAGCCTAGGCACGAGGACAAGTGTAAACACAAAAACCTTAAAGAGTTTACGGTAATTCACTGTGTGCTTTCATTTTGCATGCAGCGTGGGAGAAATATTGTAGCTTTCACTCAATATGTGTGAAAGAGTCCTTGTCAAAAGAAAGTAAAACAGCAGTTTTGAAAATGTATTAATAGTGCTGGAAGCATGCATAGCTATCATGACTGCCCATGCTTTAACTTCTCACACTAAGTATTACAGTTTGTGTGGCAGAAATACTTGGCAAATTATACTACATTATATTATGTTGTTTACTGAGATAAGATCTGCTAGTCACTTTCTAAATAAACAGACGTATCATAAGTAATCAACAAAACATTTCACAAAGTAGCCATAATCCTAATGCTCTTGAACATTCTACATGCTGAAGTGATTTCGTCTATAGAATGAATACTATTGAAAAAAATCTTTAAGCTACAAAATTAAAGCCATACGTGAGGTTATTTACAAAATAATTAATTAATAACTAGGGTTGGGTATCATTTGGGGTTATTTCGATACCGGTGCTAAATCAATACTTTTAAAACGGTAAAAGCGTGTCAAAACTGTGCCTGAACCGATACTTTTAAGCCACTAACATAGGGTGGATGACTCTAGAAAAATCTTTTATTTGACAAAATCTTTTAAAAAATAATTTTAATAGAACCATATAATTTAAGTTTAAATTAAACATCAATTTATATTTTTTATATTTGAATTGCATTAATATATGAGGCCACTTGTACTTTTGGGGGGAACATTTTAACATATATCATAAAATACTTTTAAAATATTCAAAGTAATTTTTTTTCATCTTCATAAGCAAGATAATTAAATAAACTCAAAATAATTTTCCTTGTTCATTTATTTGACAATTAACTTTGTACTGGTGTTGGATAACACACTTCTAATATTCAAGTACATCAAGGCACATTGTTGCACCTGTAAACTTTTACAGACAGGCCTACAATTGAAGTCAATTTATTTTGCCCTCCCATTCATTTAAAATTTCTACAAATTTTAGTGTTTCCTAAAAAATAATTATTCTAGAGTCATAAGTCGTATTTCTTATTGTTTTAATGAAAAAAAAATTAAGGTCAGAATTATTAGCCTCCTTAAATAATATGTACAGTATATATATTTTTTATATACACAACAAATTAGCTAAAAAATTATTTGACATTATTTCAACTTTCATAGTTAACTGATTAGGTCTTTAAATTACACTTTAATCTGAATAAAAGACTATAAAAATACTTAAAGGGACTTTGTATGATTAGAACTGTTTTGCAAAATTTCTAGTAAAATATTATGCACTGACTGTCAGCATGGGGAAGATAAAAAAGTAGATATTAGAAATTAGTTAGTTAAACTATTATGTTTAAAAATGTGTTGTAAATAAAGCATTTGTTGAAGACGGAAATCAAAAATTAATAAAGGAAAAACTAAACGAGTTGAATATGACTTACATGAGCCTTATTAAAAACTACATTAGATCAATGTGTTACATCTGTTCTTTGGTACTTGCTGACTGTTTGTAAATTCAATATTGCAGTTCCTAACGTAAAACTATGTACACCAGATTTTTTGATTAATATTAGTCTCTGCATAGCCGAGGACTTCTATATTCATATGCTGACTTGATCCGGTACATACCTATTACAAAGGTACCGGTGCTTTAATGGCACCGGGTTTCGATACCCAACCCTATTAATAACAAATCATAAACAGTTTGCTGATGGTCAACTTAACAGGAGCAAACCTCAGTCTTGCAGCCCCATTGAAAACTTCACATGGAATCTGATTAAACAGACCATAAAGTCTGCCAAACAACAGTAAATGTGATCACACCCTCAGTGGTTTTACACAAATAAGCATGATTAGAATAATACAGTATAGGTTCACATTCAAGACTTTCAATAAAAAACAACCCAGGGTCATTCTGATTGCTTACCCCCATATACAAATCTAGATAAAGCAAAATATGTCCCAGGAGCTACGTTTCTTTTGCAGTTTTTGTTTTTGAGAATCCAGCAGAGGCTGCTGTGTATGCTTTTTCAGATCTCAAATTTCTCTCGCGAGTGCCATTCCCACCAGCTGTTCTCACGTAAATCTACCAGAGGCCGCTGTGTATGCATTTTCAGATCTTAAATTTCTCTCACGAGTGCCATTCGCGTCTGATGTTTTCATGTAAATTCACCAGAAGCGGCTTCGTACGCGTTTTCAGATCTCAAATTTCTGTCACGAGTGCCATTTGAGCCTGCTGTTCTCGTGTAAATCCACCAGAGGCTATGTACACCTTTTCAGATCTCAAAACCCCATTGTCACGGTCAACTCCACTTTGTGTCTCAAGTCTGCTGAAGTACATGTCAAGTCTGCCCCCCCCCCCCCCCCTTATTATTTTTTGTTTGAAAGATTAAAATGCAGCTATGCCTAGCTCTGGCTACATAATTTGCGTTATCCAGAAATGTATATAGGGTTACGTTTTTAGAATGAGCTTATGTTGCAACAACAACAAAAAAAAGACATTTTAAATTTTAGAAACAATGAAAATAAAGCTGCCTTCGAACTGCTTTCAAGAATGTCCTGGTCCGCAAAACGGTTCAGTGTTTATTTGGTATGCAGCCTCACATTACCCCTAAGCCAACGTTGGTTGCTAGGCAACCCTGCTTCAACTGTACCAATTCCCCTGACATCTTTCGATCAGTTAACCTTCTCTCTGTTGGGTGAGCTCTACTGTTTCTGCGTACTCACACCCACCTTCTCCCACACATAACTCATGGAACAAACAGTGTTGTGTTTCAAATAATTATGTAAGGCTGCTGTCATTTATTTTTGAATTTGTAGCTTTTGGCGTTTCAGTTGACAATATGTGCATGTCATGCTTTCAGAGGGTTTCAGTGAACAGTGTATGTGGACAAAAGCAAATTACTTACGATCATTTTTTCTCAATCTTAAAATCATACATATGAGCAAAAAGTTATCACAAATTTATCTTTCAGGGCACTTTGAATAAAGTTGCTTGGATCATGTTTAGGACTTCACACTACCTGACACTTTACACTACCTTGTCGCCTATCCAAGTTTTAGGAACAACAAATATTAAATTGACTTGTAGTTCATCATTTGCTATTAGAAGTGACTAACATGAAAGGCAAGGCCTCTATAAAATGTCTATTTTACCAAAAATAAATATAATCATGCCAAGATTTTTAATTATTTAATTAGGACAGTAAGGTGTGACTTTGCATAGACAAAAGTCCTATCACTTAACAGAAATAATGTACAGTATAAAGTAGGGATGTAACGGTATTGTAAATACCGTCATACAGCAATATTAATTTTTTTCGATATTACCGTAGTCGCATGACTCGGTAAAACTATAGGTCTGCGAATGAAGCGAACGGGAGGTACCGGAAACTACAATTCCCATCAGCCCAGGCTTGGCCATAATCCCTTGCGGTCTGTTGTCGCTACAGATCCAGTAATGCGGAAATGGAGTGTGCTGCTAGAAGCGGGGATCAAAAAGAGCTGGAAAACCTTAAAGCGGGTGTTGTCGCCGCGCGCGTACTGAATATTGGTGTTGTCGCGCGAGTTCTTATCAGCTGTGTTGTCGCGCGAGTTCTTATCAGCTGTGTTGTCGCGCGCGTACTGAATAGCGGTGTTGTCGCGCGAGTTCTTATCAGCGGTGTTGTCGCGCGAGTTCTTATCAGCTGTGTTGTCACGCGCGTACTGTAAAGCGGGGACGGAGGGTATGTCGCGTCGCGGGGGCACTTTTGATCATTTTGGAAGGGAACTTTCTATCCAAGACTAAAAAGGGCATGTGCACTGCACAGGTTGAGCCCTGTGTGTGCACGTGCCTGCAAGTTGGGGAATACGACTAATAATCAGTCATGGGGACTGCAAAAACACAGCACACTGTTCAGATTGATGCAGACATGAGATCTCTATCTCACTCATGGTTTGTCCTCTCAAGTGGGGGAAAGACAATGCACAACGTTACCCACTGCTGTCAACCTGGGCCAAGTCATATCTCTCTTGTCCCAGAAACCTCAGTCCCAAATGAGAGGGGTTTTTTTTCTGTTGCAGTGGACATTGTAAATACCCAGAGATACCAGCTTTTACCAGATTATATTTATATGATAATTTTCCTTTAAAGCCATCTCTATCTAAGTAAGTGAGTGAGTGATTAAATGTTGAATGTGATGAGTTTTCAACACTACTAAATTGAAACTTTATTTTTTTACATGGTTTAATATTTTTTTGTTATTAAAATTGAAGTTCCTGTTTCAAAGCTTACAGATAGATGACTAATTTGTATGTCATTGACACTTTTGGCACTTTTTTGGAGTATTTTCATAAGTTTTGTTTTTTCCTGTAAATGATTCAATAAATACCGTACCGTGAAATTCTGATACCGTTACATCCCTAGTATAAAGTCATGGTGCAGTGGAAAAATAATTAATTTTGTGTATGACTTGCATGAGCTCGCATCGATACATCACTGCAATGACTCCAATAACTTATTAATAAAAGTCATCTGGAATGGCAAAGAAAGCGTTCTTGCAGGACTCCAAGAGTTCATCAAGATTATTTTGATTCATCTCCAAAGCCTCCTCCTTCATCTTACTCCAGACATGCTTAATAATTGTTATGTCTGGTGACTGAGCTGGCCAATCTTGGAGCACCTTGACCTTCTTTGCTTTCAGGAACTTTGATGTGAAGACTGAAGTATGAGAAGGAGCACTATCCTGCTGAAGAATTTGCCCTCTCCTGTTATTTGTAATGCAATGGGCAGCACAAATGTCTTGATACCTCAGACTATTGATGTTGCCATCCACTTTGCAGATCTCTCACACACCCCCATACTGAATGTAACCCCAAACCAGGATTTTTCATGGCTCCAATAGGTATTTCTGCAGTATCTGTGATGATTGCGATGCAGTTTCACAAATAATTCATCTAAAAACTCTTTTCCAAATGATCAACTAGAAATCAAGTAATTAATTGTTGCTCTTACACCTGAGATCGACGACAAGACTTTTGTCAGATAGTGTACATAGAGGACATGCAGATCTCTTTTAAATAAATAAATACAATTTTCATTTTGTGATATATTCAGGGTTATTGTTAAAAAATAAGAAATAAAAAAATAATAATAATAATAATGTGTTTTTTTTATTTTTTTGTTTTTTTTTTAATCAATTTAAAGTTTCAAAAAAAAAATTTCATATCGTCATTTTGGGGTATCGTATGTAAAATTTTGAGGAAATAAATGAATTTAACCCATTTTGGAATGAGGTTGCAACGTAAAAAAAAAAAAAATGGAAAAAGTTAATCGCTATGAATACTTTCTGGATACACTGTATTGGTTGCTATGCATATTTATTTGTTGATAATATGTTATCGTGTGTCTGTTTCAGGAAAGGCATGCTGATAACCTCATTCAGAATCAGCATTACCAGGTGATGGCGTTTAGCTGTAACTATCACATTCTGGCTTTCGTGTTAATTTGTTTCCCAGCATGTGGTGTGAGCCTATGGGCATCATGCATTTTATTTACTTATTAAGAAAGTTGCAAGGTGTATAATTTGTATTTTTGAAACACTGTACAGAAAAAAATATATATGTTTTGTTGATAAATAGTGCATGATCGCTGTGAAAACAAATATTTGATACTATGGAAAAACAGCATCAATTAGTTAATCAGTGGGTAATTAGTGCTTGTTTTAATTGTATTACATCCTGTTCTGTTCTGAATTATAATCACTTGATGCCTGCTGATTGCTAATGCACTGATATGCAGCCAGACAGTCTCCAGCAACTTCTGATGCAGGTTCGGACACTGTAATGAATATCTCTTATAAAAGAATACAGCTGTGCTTGGCAAAATAAAGAAGAAGTGTAGAATAATACTCCAATCTTTTATTTATTCCTTTAACTGTGGAAACCAAAATCCAAATGTACAATAGAAGTCAGTTTCTGTACAATTTCTGTTTAATGGAGAGAAGATGTGTTCAACACGTTTCTAAACATAATAGTTTTCATAACTCATTTCTAATAACTAGTTTATTTTATCTTTGCCATGATGACATTAAATATGATTTTACTTGATATTTATTAAGACACTAACATTCAGCTTATAGGTCAATTTAAAGACTTGACTAGTTAATTAGGTTAATTAGGTTAGGGTAATCAGGCAATTCATTGTTTAATGATGGTTTGTTCTGTAGACCAGTGGTTCCCAACCTTTTTTTTTTTTGTCTGGGACCCCCTTTTCCTCTGGAAAATATTCTAAGGCTCCCCATAGCATATAAGTTTGCTGTAAATATGACAAAAAAAGCACTGTGGCTGGGTCCGGGGCACTTTGCTTTGAGAAAAAGGAATGAACCATAGTTCAGGTAACTATCTTGGATTACATTTCATATTTTCAGTTTTGCTGGGACCCGAAATGTTTGGAGCTTCATCACCTGGGTCCAGTATGTTAGGGTCATTACTACTAGCTGCTGAAGGCAAATCAGTGAGACTCTGTTGTTTTTGTGAAGAAAAATTTCAAATTTGTTCATTTTTTTTGGTCAGCCAGGGGATAAAATAAACAGGCAACATAATCGTTCTAATTGTCTACTAAAAAAAGGTAAAAATATGATGCGACCCCCCACAGAGCTTGCTGAGGCCCTTTTGTGGACAAAGACCCCCCTGTTGGAAACCATTGCTGTAGATTATTGGCAAAAAATATAGCTTAAAGGGGCTAATGATTTTGACCATAAAACAAGTTGTAAACCTTAAAAAACAGCTTTTATTCTAGCCCAAATAAAACTTTCTCTAGAAGAAAAATACTACCGGAACTACTGTGAAAATTTCCTTGCTCTGTTGAACATAATTTGGGAAATATTCAAAAGATAAAAAAATCATAAGGGGAATAATAATTCTGACTTCAACTGTAAATGTAGTTCTGTAGTATAAAATGGTGATTCGTTGATAAAAGGGTCTGCTAAGTACAAAGTCTACAAAAAGATCTATATAATTACAAGACCTGAAATATGGAATTATATAGGCTACTATTTTATGAAAGGACTAGAAAGGTAAAGTTTATAGACAAACTTTATGGTGGCTCGAGAAAGCCTTGTCTGAAAGTTTAAATCATTGAAATAGTTTTATAAATGTTGAAACTGTTGGCATAGAAAAGTACAAATTTGTTAGCATGTTTCTAGTATGGATTGGCATGCTTCTTGCTAGGTGTTTGCTAGGGTGTTCTGAGTGGTTGCTAAGATGATGCTTGGGTGTTCTGAGTCGTTGCTAAGCTGAGTGGTTACTCGGCGTGTTGCAAGGGTGTTTTGACTGTTTGTTAAGGGGTTGCTAGCAGTGTTGTGTAAGTTACTTTTTAAACTGTAATACATTACAGATTACTTGTAAATGTTATTTAAAAGTAATCCCTTACCTTACAACATTACTGTTTCAGAATTGTAATATGTATCTCTTATATTACCTTTTAGTTACGTTCACCAAAATAACTACAGAATTAGAAATTAACATTCTAACATTCATGTACTTCAGAGCATTTTACATCCAGTAATACTATAGTTGCTATTGTAACACAATAAGTGTAATATAAACAAATTACCTAGTGCTGTAGTCTTTTTTTTTTACAATATAGGGTATATTATACTACAGTTCACCACACTTTACTGTAGTAAAACTACACATTGTATTTCATTTGATCAATTCACAATTCTTAATACTACAATATGCTAAAGCATTCATTAACAAGTTGTAAATAATATAGCCTAAAACATGGGCAGTATATCTAACAGTAGTGGAAAGTCTACAAAGAAAGAAAAAGGAAACACTAGGCACAAATTGTGAGTTTGCATCATCTAATGGAGTGAGAGCAGATAATTCGCACGTTAGCAGCCAGTTTTTTGAGTGCGTTTGAGAAGTTTTGTACACGAGCAGCGTGCAGTTTTGTCCACGAACAGCGGAAAACAGCACATGAGCGAAGAGATTCGCTTGCTAGTCCAGTGTGCATGGGATGCGCACTTCAGTATCTCTCCGGAAGTAGTAAGTCATCCGGATACTTTTCGCATACTGATTTTCGAAATGTATGAATTCGGACATACTACTTTATAGTATGGAAGTATGCAGTTTTAGACGCAGCCTGAGTTCAATGAGCTCAAACTTAAGTCTGTATGACAGTCTGGTGGAAAAATAGAAGCATTTCGAATGCTTGACAAAAACTTTTTTTTTTTTTTTGGTAAGTTATTCCTTTAGGGAATTGCTACAAACGAAGGCTGCTCCTTAATAAACAGGAGCTTTAGTATGGAGTCAGATCAGTCTTAAAAATAATACATTCGCAAAAATAAAACTAATACATGCACAGTACAATTCATATTTACAAAACACAGTTGGTAAATTTAAAACACAACTCATGAATTGAAAAACACAATTTGTGAATTCACAAGTAAAAAAACACAAATAATTCCCCAAATGGATTAAATGTGTATATTTATTAATTGTATTTTGAAATTACAAATTGTGTTTAAATTTAAGAATTGGATGTGCAGATGAATTTAGTTTTAAACTCACGAATTGGATTTACAAATTTGTGAATTATGTTTTAAATTTGCAAATCATGTTTTGTGTTTATGAAATGTGTTTTGAATTCACAAATTGTTTTTTGATTTACAAATTGTTCTTTGAATTTACGAATTGTGTTTAGAATTTAATTGAATTTGCAACATTAGGAATAATGTTTTGAATTTACAAATCATGTTTTGTGTTTATGAAATGTATTTTGAATTTCTAAATTGTGTTTGCATATTTATGAATTGTGTTGTGAATTTACGAACTGCATTTTGAATTTACAAATTGGATTTGTGTATTTATGAATTGTTTTGAATTCATGGATTGTGTTTTAAATTTTTTAATTGGATTTGCGAATTTATGAATAATGTTTTAAATTTACGAATCCTGTTTTGTGTATTTATGAAATGTGTTTTGAATTTATGAATTAGATTTGTGCGTTTACAAATTGTGTTTGGAATTTAGGAATTACATGTATTATTTTTGAGACTGATTTGGCTCCATTCTTCAGTTGTTGTTATTACCATAGCTATTGCTTTAGCATTATGTATAAACTTATTTTGAAAGTCACTGGGAAATCTTCCTTTATTGTATTTGCAAATAAATGCTAATGAATGCGCATCAAGAGTTGCATAAATATGCCTCAAACTGATTTTTTTACCCCTCATTAAACTAGAATAGCAAAATATGGACATGCCAATCAAATTCTAGTCCAAAACATGCCAATCTTATCCAGTCCAAAATGATTTTGGTGTCCTTTTGAGTGAGGAGGAAAGAGGGAAACAGTTCTGTTCTGTTTCTCAGAATGTGTCAAAATAATTGTGTGTGAAGTTCATCCTTCTTATGGCTGTTTTCAGGAGGTGATCAGAAACTTGGTAAAGCGATATGTTGCAGCCATGATCCGCAGTGCCAAAACAGATGAAGGCCTAACAGAAGAAAACTTCAAGGTAAGAGAGTTTTATAAACGCATATGGTGATGTATTTTAGAAATACAGTGAATATATGTTTATTTATATGCAGTGCACATTCTGTAAAAGCTCTTCAGGGTTGATAACTAATAAAATGTGTACTGTAATGTACATGCAGAGTCACTCATATGGCTATAGTAGGAGACCTACACTTTACATACTCTATGAATACTAAATACATTGTCAAATTACTGAGTTGAGTAAGTTGATTATTTAAATCTCTTAAAGAGATCACCAAAAAAATTTACTTGCTTCAACATTTACTCTTCCTTAAGAGGTTTTAAACTTTTATGAGTTTCTTTTCTTGAACATTAACTTATTTATTTGACATGAGCTTTAAAGTTTTTGCATTCCATAGCAAACAGTACAGTATGTGTGCAACATTTCCTTTTTAAATAAAGTCTTAATGTAAACAACTTCTAAAAAAAATTTCCATCATGAAAATAAGATGTCATTTCATCTGAATATGTCAATAACTCGATTTTGACAAAAATGTCAGATAGAACCTCATAATTCTAAGGTGACGATTTATTAATGACTTTTTTATGTCTCTGATAAGTCCACAAGGAAAATTATGAGAAGAACGCTAAAGTACACTACCTGACAAAAGAGCAACTGATAATAACTTGACTTCTAGTTAATCACTCAGAAAAGTGAAAGAAGGTTCGATTTTTCAGATGATTCATCTGTTGAACTGCATCTCAATCATCACTAATACTGCAGAAGACCTATTGGAATCTCCATGGACCCAAGATTCTCATAGAAATTAGTAAAGTTTGGTGAAGGAAAAATCATGGTTTGGGGTAACATTCAGTATGAGGGTGTGCAAGAGATCTGCAGAGTGGATGGCAACATCAACAGCCTGAGGTATCAAGACATTTGTGCTGCTCATTACATTACAAACCATAGGAGAAGGCAAATTCTTTAGCAGGATATCGCTCCCTCTCATACTTCAGCCTCCACATTAAAGTTCCTGATAGCAAAGAAGGTCAAGGTGCTCCAGGATTGGCCAGCCCAGTCACCAGATATGACCATTATTGAGCAAGTCTGGAGTAAGATAAAGGAGGCATTAAAGATGAACCCAAAAATGAACTCTGGGAAGAGTCCTGCAAGAATGCTTTCTTTGCTATTCCAGGTGACTTTAAGTTATATGAGTCATTGTAGAGATGTACTGTATAGATGAAGTCGTTTGCCTTTTATATTAGCCACTTCTGATACCAAATGATCCACTGGATCTACCAGAAGTCAAGTTATTATTTGTTGTTCCTAAAACAAGACTTTTGTCAGGTAGTGTACAGTATTAGAAGTTATTAAGTTAATATCAAAGGACTGCAATGTTTCCTATAAATAGGTAATGTGATTTACTCCTTGCTAATTCTATTTCCCTGCATTCAGGAACTGAAGCAGGACATCTCTAGTTTCCGCTATGAGGTTCTTGACCTGCTGGGCAATCGTAAACCACCACGCCGCACATATTCTTCCAGCAGCGAGGCCACTCAGCAGGATGAGACAGCTGAGCCAGAGGAAGTAGATGAGGAAAGAAACCACAGGCTTGGAGGACATACATGTGTAGATGAAGGAGAACGATCCAGATACAAAGCATCTACATCCTTCTCCCAGTGTTACAGGAGAAACCGAGAGTCCCAGTTCAGTATATCAGCTCTCTTCAAGTCTATATCAGGACCAGCAAGAGAAAAACCTGAAAGCAATGGCTTGAGGAAGAACATATCCCATCCCTCTCCATTTGTACGGACCAACAGCCGCCTACAGCACTTTTCACACTCCAAGAAAAACTCTTTGCAACGTTTGGGAATGCTGATGTTGCGTATGAATGGACATGTCCCAGATACGCACGCAGAAACCTTAGAAGTTCAGCAGTCTGCATATAGCATCTCAGACAGGGTACCGCAAACATCTTGGCACAACCCCCAAAATCTTTCAAAGGTTACGAGGAGCGAGACACACTTGCACACTCTGGGATTGGGAGCACTTGAGACTGAAGAGAATCCAATGCATGCCATCTCTAATCGAGCAAACGGAAGTGACAATCTCTTCCACCAGCGACCCGGCCACTCGCTGCCCCCATTGCACTGCGCTTCCAGTCTGACCACCTCCAGTGTCCAGCTTTTGGCATCCAGTGATTACATATGCCACAGCTGGTTGGGACCATGTGACAGTTTGGGCTCCTCAAGCTGGGAACCGGATGAAACGGTTACAACACAGCTGTAGAGGTGGTAGCAATGTCAAGCTTAATATTACTGTCTCAGCTTAAATCTTTAGTTCAACCAAAAATAAAAATAAAAATCTGTTATTAATTACTTAACCTCATGTCATTTCATTCATCAGAAGACAAATTAAAGGTGCTGTATGTAAGTTTTTGGCTCTTTTAAAGCATAAAAATATGTCTGCAGATGTATAAAAACAATCTAAATGAACATTCCTGTTTATCTGAACAATGCTTAACTCAGATGTTCTGCTTTGAAAACGTGCCGGAACGTCTTTAATTTGATACCTTTAAGCTGCCCCTGGTTGTTTTTGTGGAAAACAGTGTAATTCATTCAGTCAGAAAGGTGCTTAAAGTATGCATCCATGACCAAAATGCGACCTCCGGTGGACAGTAGCAGACTCCGAAATGAGTCGCAGATTCAGAGTTCCACGTGAAGTGGTTATTAATCAGCAAATAATACAAATATTACAAATGTAAACATTAGGTGAGCAGGTTACACTGTAACTCTGTGTCCTAACAACACGCTATTTGATGAGATTTGCAGTGATAAGCAATTTGGCTGTTTGCACCACACAAAACACGACAGAAAATTTAAATACAACAACAGTCATTGAGAAGCACAGAATAGTTCACTCACTGCACTCCAACAAAATGGTAGGGTTAATAATCTAACTGACACATAAACCTTTTTCTTGGCTGCTGCATGAAGTATGCCATAGCAACAGGGCATAATTTGTGCTGGAACATTCTGGATCCGGCACCTCTGAAATCTGACTCTCATTTTACCGATCCCCCTCCTTAACCACCCTCCTCCCCCGCCCGCTCTTAACTTTCACTTTCTTCTGCGACTCCCCAACCCTCTTCACTTTCTTACGCGACACCCCTCCGCTATATAATGCCCCGCCATCCACCACCCACCCCACTCCTCACTATCATCCGCAACACATCTACATCCTCGGGTTACCGCAATCTGTTCCGGGACCTTGCAATTCACAAATTAAGCACTGCATGTCGACCAACATCTTCCGGTACAATGTTTAGAACTTCCGTTTACAGTGTTTACAATAGGTAATTTGTGATCCGAAAATGGGTTTCAATAGCGTTTTGAGTGGATTACGTAGTGTTTTTGTGACACAACTTTAAAAGATGTGTGTTAAAGCCGCTATGATCAAGCACGAGAAAAGCCTTTATAATTACAGTGTGTGTGTGTGTGTTATCGATCTGTCATCTGTTAGATCAGAGGCTCTTCAATGTGTACACACACACACACACACACACACACACACACACACACACACACAATTCTTTACTGCATTATAGAACAAACCAGATTACTGGCATGTAAATTAACAAGCATGTAAGTCATGTAATTTACAAAAACAACCATTAAAAATCTGTTACCAATACTCTGCTGGCTGATTTGCATGTTGATTTTAATCGAGAGCCAATTATGTATCATTTAGTTAATTTGTGTTGTGTAGTATTTACCATGGTATGTGTTTTTCTGTCATTTTAAAATGTCACTTTATTTTCACTTTGTGACACTTAATCAATCAGTGTGTTTAGGGGACATGCGCGTGTGTCAAACATTTTGGTGAAATACTTTTGTTTTGTTGGTTATATGTTTAAAAGAAAGAGAAAATGTTCACTTTAGCGATGACGATATTCCATTTAAACGGCACAAGATGCCGCCTGACATTGAGGGTAAAATGCTTTGCAGCAGTTGTTTTCCCTCCATTAGATCGCATTTTTTAAAAATTAAAAAATCAGTCTAGAAGGTGGTGCTGATCGACAACAGGATTAGTTCAAGGAAGTTCAAAGCAAACAAAATAGATTAAAACTATCTCTTCAAAACTGGCCAAATGTGAGTTTATACGCAACAGCTACTGACTGGAAGTTCTTAGCATTCTCCATGCGTATACTTGCAAAGCATAATGGGTAATTTTGCGTTCTAGGAAAAAGGTCTACAAAACTTTTTTAACATTATAATAAACAATGAATAAAGCACAAGGTGTACCTGAGGTGAACATTGTTAGTTTAGCCTGTTGTTCAGCTGCAAGAAATAAAAGTCATTTCAAAAATATAAATTTGAGGGTGTTGGTTTGAACAAAAACCCCTTTAAATATGGAAAATATTCCTCCTATAATGTTTAGTTGCTTTTATTTAACATGGTTTAAAACAGAAAGTCGTATCGTCAATCTGGCTACCTGCGCTTACGTGTGTTGTAAACCAGGAGTGCAATACCTAGTTTAACCACTGGGTATCAAACTTACATACTAAACCTTTAAGATATTTTACCACAACAGTCAAGAGTCTAGAAAAGGAACCAAAATATAGTCAAAACATTCCATGTGACTTCAGTCAACTGTAAACATATGAAACTCCAAGCACACTTATGCTCTAATAAAATTGTAAAAATAACTGTTTATCTATGTCACAGGTGTCAATTCCAATTCCTGGAGGGTCACAGCTCTGCACAGTTTTGTTTCAACCCTAATTAAGCACACCTGATCAAACTAATTTAGTTCTTCAGGCTTGTTTAAAACCTACAGGTAAGTGTGTTAGAGCAGGGTTGGAACTAAACTGTGCAGAGTTGTGGCCCTCCAGGAACTGTAATTAACACCTGTGATCTATGTTATGTGTGTCAGGTCAGGATATACAGTACAGGCAATGCGACGCTACTGCTTGTTGTAAATCCTGAACTGATTCAGAAGTGAGCGAAATCTTTTTTTACTATTTTATTGGTGCACAAAGATTTTCTTGGAGCTTTGTATTACAGTAGAACCACTGTAGTCACATGGAATGCTTTGACATTTTTTTTCCTTTTTTGGACTTTGAAAATTTCAGGACCACTTTTGTGTTTTAAAGATGAGGAAGCTCTCAAAATATAATTATGGTAACACTTTACAACAGTAAATGAATAATGGTGTATTATTATGTACGCTGAACATTACTTTATCATGAATTAATGATAAGTTAGGGTACATACTAATCATTTACATTTAGTCATTTAGCAGACGCTTTTATCCAAAGCAACTTACAAATGAGGACAAGAAAGCAATTTACACAACTATAAGAGCAACATTGAATAAGTGCTGTAGGCAAGTTTCAGGTATGTAAAATGTAAGACGCAAAACATTAGATTTTTTTTTTTTTTTTTTTCATACAGTTAGCGGTGGAGCCAGAGAGGCAATTGCAGATTAGGAAGGAAAGTGGAGACTAAATTGGAGTTTTTAGTCGTTTCTTGAAGACAGCGAGTGACTCTGCCGTTCTGATGCAGTTAGGGAGTTCATTTCACCAACTGGGCAGATTGAATGCGAGAGTTTGGGAAAGTGATTTCTTTCCTATTTGGAATGGAACCACGAGGCGACATTCATTCACAAAATGCAAGTTTCTGGAGGACACATAAATCTGCAGAAGTGAGAGCAGATAAGGAGGAGCAAAGCCAAAAGTCACTTTGTAAGCAAACATCAGAGCTTTGAATTTGATGCGAGCAGCAACTGGCAGCTAGTGCAAACGGATGAGTAGTGGAGTGACATTTGGTCTTCTAAGTTCATTAAAGACCACTCGTGCTGCTGTGTTCTGAAGCAGCTGAAGAGGTTTGATAGAGTTAGCTGAAAGCACGGCTAGTAGAGAGTTGCAATTGTCCAGTCTGGAGAGAACAAAAGCTAGAACAAGGAGTTGAGCTGTATGTTCAGATAGGAAGGGTCAGACCTTTCTGATGTTATATAGTGCGAATCTGCAAGATCGAGCAGTTCTAGAAATGTGGTCAGAGAAGTTTAGTTAGTCCTCAATCGTTACTCCAAGGCTTTTCACCGTTTTGGATGTAATAATGGTTACCCCATTCATCTGAATTGAAAAGTAATGATGTAGAGTCGGGTTGGCAGAAACTTCAAGCATTTCCGTTTTCGTGAGGTTAAGATGAAGATGAAGATCTTTCATCCAGTGCGAAATGTCTGACAGGCAGGCTGAGATGCGAGCTGGTACCGAGGGATCATCAGGGTGAAAATACAGGTTAAGCTGGGTATCATCAGCATGGCAGTGGTAGGAAAATCCATGTTTCTGGATGACTGATCCTAAAGGTGTCATGTAGATGGAGAAGAGAAGTGGCCCAAGAACAGAGCCCTGTGGTACCCTAGTGTTTAGATGCTGTAGGTTGGACACCTCTCCCCTCCAAGACACCCTGAATGACCTGTTAGAGAGGTAAGATCTGAACCACTGAATAACAGTGACTCAAAGCCCAGTAACTCAAGTGTAGATAGCAGGATCTGGTGGTTTACAGTGTCAAAAGCAGCTGACAAGTCCAGCAAGATGAGGACTGATGATTTAGAGTCTGCTTTAGCCAGTCTGAGATCCTCCACGACCGAGAGCAGGGCAGTCTCAGTTGAGTGGCCTTTCTTAAAGCCAGAATGCTTGTTGTCTATGAGGTTGTTTTGAGTAAGGAAGTCCAAGACTTGATAGAACATGACTTGTTCCAGTTTCTTGGCCATGAATGGAAGCAGGGATACCGGTCTTTAGTTTTCAAGTTGCGTTTGATTCAGGTTGGGTTTCTTTAGCAGTGGGGTTACCCTAGCCTGCTTAAATGAAATGAGGAATAAACCAGAGTCAAGACATGTGTTAATTATGTGAGTCAGTGTTGGTATGACTGCAGGAGAAATGGCTTGCAAGAGATGAGAGGTAATGGGATCAAGCGGACAGGTGGTTGCATGGCTAGATAGCACGAGTTTGGTCACCTCAAACTCAGAGAGCTGAGAAAAAGAGGTGAGTTTGTATGGTGTTGGTGGTGTATCTTGCCTGTTTGTTGTAGGTGCAGCAAATCGAGAACTGATTTTTACAGTTTTGGTGCAAAAGAATGTAGCAAAGTCATCAGTTGTAAGTGTGGAGGATGAGGGTGGAGGAGGAGGATAGAGGAGGGAGGAAAATGTTTTAAAGAGTAGGCAAGGATTGGTGGCATTGTTGATCTTTTGATGGAAGTATGTCTGTTTTGCAGAAGTAACATCAGCCGAGAAAGAGGACAGAAGAGTTTGGTATGTTATGAGCTGTGCAGGATTTTTAGCTTTTCGCCAAATTCTCTCTGCAGCCCGAAGTTTTGAGCG